CTGTCACTCATTTATTAAAATTTTGAAAAATGTTTTCCTGTTCTATGATGAGTAGGAGAGAAAGAAAAGTCATTCTAACAGAACAGAGGGTAAAAAATAGAATGGAATATTCCTGATTTGTCTGTCTGTTATTTTGAGGAAGATTCTTTTTCACTAATATTTACTGGAATTTGATAGATGGATCAGTAGAATAAGATGAATAACTCATAAAGGAGATACTTTCTTTGCTTTATGTAATTTGAAGAACATTGTCTACCCTTCACACCCTTTATGTTCTTATTGACATGTATTCAAAGTCTACTTATTTTATAGCCCACAAGACATTGTTTTGTGTAGTCATTATTTATTTAGATTTACCCACATATTTTCTTTCCATTGTTCTTCAGTCCTTTCTTCAATTCATTGAATCATCTGGTACCTTTCATTTTCCTTCTTCCTTTAGAACTCCCTTTTGAGGGCAGACCCCGTGACTCACTCGGGAGAGTGCAGCGCTGGGAGCGCCCAGGCCGCGGGTTCGGATCCTATCTAGGGATGGCCAGTGCGCTCACTGGCTGAGCACGGTGCGGGCGACACCACGCCAAGGGTTGCGATCCCCTTACCAGTCACAAAAAAAAAAAAAAAAAAAAAGAACTCCCTTTTGAATTTCTTTTAATGCAGGTACACTGTCAATGAATAATCTCAGGTTTTTCTTATCTGGAGATGTCTGTCTTTGATCTTCATTTCTTGAAGAATATCTTTACTAGTTATAGAATGTTATATTGGCAGTTATTTGGGGTTCTAGAACTTCCATTTGATTAAAAAAAAATAGATTCTCACTCTGTGGTGAAATTCTCCATCCTGCCATGTGTTTTCTTATACCTTTCATTGTTATTTTGAAGCCTATGTTGGATATAACTAGGTTATTTACAGGTCTCTTTCTATTGCCTGTTTCTTTTCTTGGTCTTTTTGTAGTATATCTGGTAATTTATCACTGACTGCTGTGCAGTGGGTAAGAAAAATTGTAAATTTTCTGGAGATTCAGGGAGATAAAATGGAAGGAAATGTACTTCAGTAGGATCAAAGACTAAGCACTGAGTGAACACAACGCTTGTTTTAAACTTCATAAGGATCAGTTTACCTCTATTCTACCCATGCTTCTCAAGTGTAATGCTCCAGGAGTTCAACAGAAAGGTTAGAGTGTTTACCAGGGGTCTCCTCTTTCGTGGGTTTGAGCTGTCAT